TTTAAATGTTGGTATGACAATTCTTTAAAAGCCTTACTTTTTTAACCGTTGCATTCGAAGTAGTTATTAGAAGTTTCCACGTGAAAAAGGAAGATTTGGGAAAGATCTCTGCTTGCTAGGTTTTAAGTTAGCAACATAACTTGAGAATAAAAGCTTTTAGGAAGGAGAATCAAGACGTGAAAGACCATGGGGACTGGAAACAGACTACAGTGAACAAGAACAGCTTTAGTGAAAAGGCAGTGATTAGGTGGGGGAGATTTTTCTCAAATAAAAATCCTCTGCAGGGCGCCTGCGTGGCTCAGTCAGTTGAGTATCTGACTTGGTTTTGGCTCAGGTCATGAGCTCTGCGCTGACAGCATGGAGCCTGCTTGGGATTCTCTCTCTCTGCCCCTCCCCTGCTCACACACACACTCAAAATTAAATAAAACATTTAAACAAAAATCCTCTGCAAATAGCCTTAGTTGGAGGAGAGAGGTGGGGAAAGCTATTTTCACAAGTAACCAGCTTCTGGAAAAAATTATTTGTAATGAAAAACCTGGGTAACTCATAATAAAGTTTTTAGGCTTATTTTCTGTCTACAAACTTTAATAGAGATCTATGCTGCTTTAAATAGATTTATCAAACGTTTAATGTAGTTTTAATCACTGTTTTTTGTTAAAGGGAGTCTAATCCAGAAATCCAGGGTTTCATGAAGCAGAAAGGTTTTGGCAAAGATTTTAGAAGACTAGAATCTTTCTACCTTCAAAAGTAAGTTCCTTATAAGCCTCCTCTATTTTTATTTCATCTGTGATTTTTGTAAAAGTTTTAGCTATTTAGTACTCTTTTTTCATTTTCTCTCTACCCCTTGTGAAAGTATAGATATTATATAGAGAGATATATAGATATTACCCCTTGTCAAAGATCTATATAATATAGATATTATATATATAGGTATCTATCTATCTATCTATCTATCTATCTATATATTATACCTTGTTGGACAAAGTGAAAAATCAAGAAGGAAGCAGTATGCACTGCTTTCTTTAAATCACTGACATTATGACTAAGACTTTTGCATTAAATGATGAAATAATGTTGAGCAGTCTTCTGTTCAAAGAATTCAGTTCAAAGTCCTGCTTTGCCTGTGAAGTCTTCATCACCATCCAGCCTGTGGAATTCATTCCCTTTGGTTAACTCCAGGAGCATTCTTCTACTTTAGATCTCTTATGTCCAGTATGATAGCACAGCCACACGTGGCTGTTTATACTTACACTGGAGAAAATTTAAAGGGGCAGGTAGTAAATATTTTAGGCTTCATGGGCCCCACAGTTGCATAGTATTCTTGTTTTAAAACAATATTTACAAGTGTAAAAACCATCCTTAGCTCATGAGCCATACAAAAACAGGCCGTAGGCTGTAGTTTGCCAACTCTTAGATTAGACAAGCCTTTTCCTATTTTGCTTTTTGTGTAGTACATTCTCATTTTCTAATCCTGCACAATATCTGGAATTGTCTAGAGACTAGGAAATATTTGTGGACTAGCTGCCAGCAATTTTATAGTTTATTCTAAGATACTCAAGAAATAACCAGAGACAGTGGTTTGTATATTACCTTGAATTGCCATGTCTTCCCCACCTGGAGATGTATGTAGCACATTCATTCAGCAGATGACTTTTAAACCCCTCTGCTGTGTGATGTCCCCAGCCATGTGCTGGAAAGCAGGAACCACATTGGGTCACGATCCAACTTGAGCAGGTTCTGCTTTAAAGCTGTGCTATAGTGCAAGGCACCTCTCAACATGGTAGTCCTTCATAGAAACCCTGCATGCTTTAAATATACTGTTAAGCTTGTGATCTGACAAAAAAAATTTTTTTTTTCCCAATGGTAGGCTTTTGGGTATTGTTTCAACTGTAAAGAAGGGATCCATAGTCTGGCAAGAGGTTTTTGATGATCACGTGAAGGTGAGAAGTATGAAGACTGCATTTGATTCTGATAATACGAGAGACTATTTTAACATCTTGGAAGGAAGGAACCCTAATGAAGTCCCCAACATTATGGGGAAAGTAGCTTACCTTTTAGTTTCAACTTTTGTTAGGCAATAGCTGTAGACCAAGGCTAGTGCCTCCCTTTCATGTCTCCCATCTCCCTCCCCCCACTATTCTCATTATTTGTCACAAGTTGAAGCACATGAAGTTTTGTTTTGTTTTGTGCACCTAGGGGGCTCAGGAGGTTGATCATCCAACTGTTGATTTCAGCCCAGATCATAATCCTGTGGGATTGAATCCCATGTGGGGTAAAAGTAAAACAACAAAAACAAGGGTAGAACAAACAAGAACAGATGAATCTTTATTGCTACGAAGGTAGCAATAATTGTCAACGTATACACTTTTTATTTTCCTTTGGGTAACTGAGAATTTCAAATCCAGCTACTACTATGATCTTTCCAGAAGAGTTAGTGACATCCTCACAGTTCCAAAGTAAGAACAATGGTAGTGTGGGACAAATGGGAGTGAAGCCTTAGTTGATTATACCTATACAGTGTCATATATAGGCAGAAGTTAAATATCCAACCTTAAGGTTGATACAACTTTTTTTTTTTTTTTGGAGAGAAAGAACAAGAACAGGGGAAGGGCAGAGAGAGAATCCTAAGCTGGCTACACACAGCACAGAGCCCGACTTGGGGCTTGAACTCAGGAAGCCATGAAATAATGACCTGAGCCAAAACCAAGAGTTGGACGCTTAACCAACTGAGCCACCCAGGTGCCCCAAGACTGATGAAACTTCTAATTTTAAGGCCCTGTTGCCAGTAACGTTTGGTATTATGTTTTTCCAGAAGCTTAGAAAGTTATTTTCCTAGCAACATGGGCTGGGACTTTTAATTTCATCTGTAATTGTTGGACCTGATCAATACATATTGCTTGTAACTTTAATAGCTTCTGCCAGGTACAATTGTTCAAGTGTGGAAAAATCAAGTATATAGTGAGGAACTACGTGAAGTCACAGCAGCTGGCTTCCCTGTGATCCTTTCTGCTCCTTGGTACTTAGATTGGATTAGTTATGGACAAGACTGGAGAAATTACTATAAAGTGGACCCTCTTCATTTTGATGGTGAGTGAAGCACTTATCATTACCCTGGGTTGTTAGTTTTCTTCCCTTAATCTTCCACCGGGAAATTTTCATCCAGATATTACCTACTCACTATCCTCCCTTTTATGTTTGGTCCTGATATTGTTTACTTGAAAAAAAGGCCCCCAATACATCTTAAAATTTGTGAAAGAAACCATATCCTTGCCTGAATCAAATAACTTCAAAAGTAGGTTCCTTTATCTTCGTTTCCACTGCCGAGCATTGTTACCTTACATTTTAAAGACGCTTGTCCGCATTAACCTTGTATCTCTGCTTTTGACTGACTGGCCTTCCCAATTGTTAAGACACTTAAGGAAGGCTGTAGTCTAGTTCCCTGTATTTCAGGCTGTGTAGTCTTAGGTATACTTAGGAAGGGGGTGGAGCTTTAGGCTCTCAGACCCCCTTCCTTAAGAACACTTCTACTTTGTCCAGTTTTTAAAATTTCCTTGAAGGAAAAGAATGGTAGTGTTAAAAAAAAATGTTTTGAATCAGTATGTAAGTCTGTTAGGAATTGACATAATGTAATATCAATTGGGTACTTAGTCTTTTTTTAGTACCACGAGGTAGATATTGAAGGCAGGAGTGAGCAGCAGTTATTAGTATTCCAACTTGAATTCCTGGCACACTCTTCTTAGGCAACCAAGGGAATAATGGTTCCTGAACCCAAAGCAGCTTGCACAAAACCAAAATAAAGCAGTGTGCTAGTATTAAAGATACCAATTTGTAGAAATATGCTAACAAGCATTGTGGGAATTAAGTTTGCTACCTCTTTCTGTGCCAAAACCATGAACTGACCAGGGGACCAGTAATTGCCTCTGTCAGAGGTTGGAGCTGCAACTACTTCATTTACAGCCATTCAATGATTTTAATGTAGGTTCTCAAGAACAGAAAAAACTTGTCATTGGTGGAGAAGCTTGTCTGTGGGGAGAATTTGTGGATGCAACTAACCTTACTCCAAGATTATGGTATGGAATTTTAAGTGATAAATTTGAATTAAAGTGCCTTATTTTTCCTTCTCCATCCAAGTAGGGAAGTACTAGAAATTTCAGAATACATACATTTAAACTGCTTTGGGGGACATGTGATTTAACTTACAGGCCTCGGGCAAGTGCCGTTGGTGAAAGACTCTGGAGTCCCGAAGACATCACCAGTGTAGGGAATGCCTACAACAGACTGACCGTTCACCGCTGCAGAATGGTCAGGTACGGCACTTTGAAAGTTAGGACATTACCAAGTCCAGGATGATTAACTTTGTTTTCTATAAAAAGAACTGTATGTCACCTAACAAGTAGTGATTTACTTAGAAACTGGGAATTGATTTTTGTACGAAACAGAATTATGCCCAAAAGGAGGAAAGACTATTTGAACTTTTTCTTTAAGAGGCACCTGGGTGGCTCAGTTGGTTAAGTACACCGACTTCACAGTCTCATGGTGCATGAATTCGAGCCCAACACTCGGCTCTCTGCTGTCAGCACAAAGCCAGCTTCAGATCCTCGGACTCCCTTTGCCCCTCCCCCACTCAGGCTCTCAAAGAACTTAGTTTATTCTTAAGATGCATTATATCAATCTAAAACCTAATTCATACTTTGTTCTATAGACGGGGAATATCTGCAGAACCTCTTTTTACTGGATATTGTGACTATGAATACAAAACATAAAAATGAGCCTAAACAAAGAAGAAAAGAGGAGGGGACAAAACCTACAGCAATCTGTACTACAATCAACTTGATTTTGAAATCGTGGAAGTTAAGATTTGGTGCACTGTTTTAAATAAAAGATGTATCTTTTTTAAAATGGGACCTCTATCTGATTATAGAATGGGCAACTCCAGTACCACTGTCAGTTTAGTAAGTTGAGTAAAGCAATAAAAATTCTTCTTACTGAAACTGCAGTTGATAGGGGCTCCGGAGTCTCAAAGTACTTGGGTCAAGCCACTTCGCCGGCCGAGCAGTACAGTTTGGTCTTGAGGATTCATGGCTTCATAATTAGATAGTTCTAAGGCAAAAGTAGCTGAGCCTGATGTTAGCGTTCGAAGCACAGTTGAATAACCCTAGTCAAAATAATTGAAGACAGTTGTCAAATTTAAGCCTCAAGTATCTCTTCCTGCTGCTAAAGGTGAAAATGAGACTCATGTGAGTTCTCATTGAACCATTTTGTCAGGAAATACTAGACAAATATTGTGGAGGTTAAGTAAATAATGTGGGTACGTTTCACAAGTATTCCCTAGTCTCAGCATTTAGGAAGAGAAGCGTGGAGAATGGTAATGACCCCACCTACCTGTGGTAATCCCTTAGATTCCCGTAACAGTTTAAATCCAAACGCTCTAACAGTTCAAAATCCTGATTGTCTACTTTTGTTCAGCATAAATATCCCCAGTATTCTTTTCAGTAACTAAGTACCTACCATAATTTCTGCTAGGGGAACAAATCCAGTAATAATTTTGTTTTCCTGACGAGTCTGGATTTCCTGAATGGTCCCTCTTCTTTGTGCCAGATCTGCCAGGACAAGGCTGAGGTAATCTCTAGTGACTGTAACCTCGAGCTTCATCAGGGGCTCTAAAACTTGCTTATCAGCCTTCTTCAGCGCCTAAAGGAATTCAAGAATGTTAACTCCCCTTTCCTTATTGGAAATCAAATTTCTGTTAAAAAAGATTCGTAAATTCTGCCCATCCTTGTAAGCCTGGAGCTCTTTTTATAAACTATCGGGTACATGGCAAGGGGCTGCTTAATAAAGCTTAATTACACAGAGCATCTAAGAACACGTGGCCAGAGACAGTGCAAAGAAAAAAATGGTTTTCCCCTTTCAGTCAAAGACTTACATCTTATTTGTTGAAACCACGTGTTTAGTTCCTGATGCCTATTACAGTTACAGTCCATAGCAGGACTAATCCAGAAATGTACTACAGTAAGGCTAACAGAAACACATTCAACAAAAGGCAAGAAGAATAAGCACATAAGTAAAACGGAAACCGAACAGAAGCCAATACAACACATAGGGCAAGTACTGGAAGAAAACGGAGGAAGTAGCAGCAACAGAAGATGTATTGGGGTCCCAGTCTTTCAGAGTATCACTACGTCAGACAAACTGGTATGGCAAATGCAAGCACTGTAAGTACCGGTGGGTCAGATTTAAAACGCTATCCTACTGGGCTGCCTCAGCCTGTTAAGTGTCTGGCTCTTGGTTTTCCCCTCAGGTCATGATCTCGTGGTTGGTGGGGCGGGCTCCACTGACAGCACAGGGCCTGCGTGGGATTCTCTCTCAAAAATAAATAAACCTCAAAGAATAATCAAAAAGCTATCCTACTGCTAGAGCCTGCCAGAATTCAAAAGTAATAAAAGTCTGATTTAGTCTAAGCCTCTCGTTACTAGGTGGGATGTAACAGAGATCTACAGCGGAAACTTTGCACGAGGGGGCTCTGGAATGTGCCCTCACCTTTACCCAGGTGCAGTGGGTCATCACTCTGTTCGCTGCTCCACCACCACCGATTCTCATTATTACTTAAGGCCTTAGAGGGGGCATTAACACTGCCTGTATTGTCAAGTAAGGGTTCTGGGCCTCGAATTCTTTTGTTCCTGATACGTCACCACCTTCCCATCCTCTCCTGCCCTTTACCCACACAATCATGAAAAATGGCCAGAGAAGTAAAACCAAGAGTATATGCCCATTATCATCGAAATTTCAAAACATAGAGCACACCTCTCTTTTTGCAGTTCTTACCAAGAGCTTTGTACCACTTCACATAATGTCTTTCAGAACAAAATAACAGAGTGGGAGAAGGTAAAAATGAAAACACTATAAGCAAAGAATTGAATGCTTTGGATTGAGGATACAGACTATAGTCTCTATGTGCTTGAGCCTTGTACCCGCTGCCTGTGCGCCCCCCCCCCCCCCCCCCCCCCCCGGCTCTGGGACAGTTTCTAAATATCCCACAGCAATCCAAGATAACCTTATCATTTCCTTTTGCAAACATTCTTGTGTGCTCTTTCCTATTTCTGTTGAGGACATGATAATATTCATTTCACCTGGACATGCATCTCTAACTTCGGTTTCCCCAAGTAGCTTTAAGATTTCTGTTCCTATTGTCAGTATCCTAATTCAGACCCAGTCCATTCCCTGTCCTGGATTATGTGTTGCCTACTTCTAGTTCCTCCTGTATTCCAGTGATTATAATGCCCTCCTCAAAAACTTTAAATTTTTCACCACTGTTCTCAAAACAAACCTCAAACTCCTCAGGGTAGTTTTTAAAGGTTTCTCTATAGTCTGATTCCATTTTCTAACACTGTCTTTCACTACTACTCTGCCTTCATCTGAGAGTACAGCTAAAGGGACTTCAATCTTCCCGTGTCTGGAATGCCCCTGTGTCCAACTACCAAAATCCACAGCTCAGATATTCCTTCCAATAATACTAATTCCCCACTTCTCCATTTTTATTACCCCCAGTCTGCTCTAATATTTTGGCTGTTTGGCCATATTTAATTACCTTGTAAAATCATAAGCTCCTTTAGGTGAAGACAAACATCCATATTCCATTTATGTCCATCGCACTGCACAGTAAGCTCAACAAAGAAGGCTCAATAAATACAGGAGGCATCATTAACTTACCAGATAATACTTCTAACTATATGCTTAGGCAAACTATATAAAAAAATTTTTATTTTTGAGAGCTAGACAGAGCATGAGCAGGGGAGGGCAGAAGAGAGGGAGATACAGAATCCGAAACAGGTTCCAGGCTCCGAGCTGTTAGCACAGAGCCCAATGTGGGGCTTCAACTCACGAACCATGAGATCATGACCTGAGCTGAAGTCAGCCACTAAACCAACTGACCCACCCAGGCACCCCAGCAAACAATATTTAAATAATACTTTTTGAATGTATAGATTTTTTTTAATGAAAATTAAATGAAATCATATGAAAGGACCATTAAGTTGTACCTTCTTAAGTCAGCGACTTAGGGTATTCACATTTAACTTTATAATTCTAGATTCAGTTAAGACCACAGAAAATCAAGTTTCAGACACAGTCCAAAATTTCAGAAAATGGCTTTTAAAAGCAAGTGTTTTACTGCAAATCAGTCACTTATAAAACTGTAGTAGTCCCATGCTGAGAAGAATGCATGGAATCAACATTTGGCACACTAAGATCCTGTGAGTTAAGTCAGCTCTGGTAGATTACTGAGGCAAGACACTCAAGGAAACAATGGGAGGTAAGTAACTGTTCCAAGACTAGACTGCTTGATGCTTTGATAAAGTTAGGTGCTTATGTGGATTATCAGTCTCACCTGATTTTTTTTTTTTTTTTTTTTTTTTGAGAGAGAGCATAAGCAGGTGAAGTTCAGGTAGAGAGAGGGGGAGAGAGAATCTTAAGAAGCAGTTTCCATGCTCAGCCAGTAGCCCAGTGCGGGAGGGGCTTAATCTCATGACCCTGAGATCGTGACCTGAGCCAAAATCAAGAGTAGGACCCTTACCAGACTGAGCCAACCAGGCTCCCTGTGACTTAATCTGATTTCAATGATCTTTGATTACGGTAATCTTATTCAAATAAACATGAACTCAAAACTGAAACTAATATTACATCTTCAATGTCCTTTGTAGTCCATCTTGGGCCAGGATACCCCCAAAATGTCCCCTAATTAAACTACAAAGCTCACCTCTAACAGCTGTGTATCTGGGATGGGGAAACCAAAAATGCCAGTTAAGGAAACCTGCCTCTTTGCTAAAATCAGAGAATATTTCCCGGCAGTCTGTATTAAGCAGTAACTTCCTAGGTCCTCTTACAGATATAACCCCGGTGATTAAGAAATCAGAGAATGTCCAGGGTAAAAACTTGCTGACTCTAAGACGCAGACGGCATCAATACAAGTGTGAGGCACTGCAAAGCACAGATGTCTGTGGAGCAATGGCACACTGCTATCAGGACAGTCACCCTAAAGCAAAAAGGAGAACTACAGGATATTCTCTACCTTTTGTATGCATCTGGAGACACAGGCAGAAATCATAGTTGTGGAGGTACCAGGATGAATTATCAGTGAATGTACAGCAACTGCCACATCTTGGACTGGGGATCCAAGCAATGGTCCTAGGCAAGGGGAAAAAACTTAGGTTAGCACTCAATATGCAGTGAGGAGTAAAGGCAGGGAGAGGACTTCCAGTTTCCACTTCATTTAGGCAGCTTAGAAGTCACCACTCTGTCCCAGCAAGTATAAAGCAGAACAGACTGAAAAATAAGCAACCCCTCCTAGAGCCGTAAGAGAGGAGAAGACAAAGGACAAACCACTGCCCCCAAAACCAGAGAGGCAGACGAACAAAGAAGTCACAGCTTCCTAGAGCAGAGCCTCACTAGCCCAGGAACCAGTGCCACAGCAGGAAAACCTCAACTATAGAGAAGTCTGGGAGTTAAAAACTTCAGGGGGAACAGTCATAAATCATAAGGGGGCCCCCATAATTTTTTGAGATGTACCTCCCAGAGCTCGAGCAGGTTCTTCCTGTAAGTATCAGAGAAAGATCTCTTTGTACTTCTGACAGAGTGGAAAAGAAACCATTCTGAAATACTCCAGAGCACTCTGTTCTTACAAAGGCCTGCTCTCAGGGGAAACTAGTTAACTAGAGCCTAAGAAGCAGGGGCATTAGCAGGACCTAACTGACTTGGGTGAAATACCTAACTCCAGGCCACCCTAGCCATCCTGTCCAACCTGAGGCTAGTGAAAAAAAACAAAAAACACTTGTGTGGCTCCCCATCCAGAGGCATGGGCTCACTATAAGCCCATGGATTAGAATGCTTCCTTTCCCCCAACACGTGACTTCCACATTACTAGACACCATGTTTACAGCAGTTCCTTTTACCCAGTACATCACGTTAGGCCATCAGGAAGAAATTACAAGGCATATTAAAAAGCAAAAGCACAATATGAATACAGAACAAGCATCAGAACCAGACATGGTAAGTACGTTGGAATGATCATATCACATGACTGATATATGCTAAAGACTCTGATAAAGTAAACCACATGCAAGAACAGACAGAAGTCCTAAGAAGAACCAAAAAGAAATGCTTGAAATAAAAAATAACAGTGAAAGAAATGAATTATCTTTGATAGGCTTACAAGTAGACTGGACACAGCTGAAGAAAGTGTCTGAGTTAGAAACTATTCACAGAAACCCCCAAAACAGAAGAACAAAGTGAAGACTGGTAAAAACAAAAACAAAAACAAAAAAAACCCACCAGAATATCTAAGGACCATGGGACAATGGAAACAGGTCTAACATACACATAATGGGAAGAGTAGTGAGAAAACATTACCTAGTTAGAAATAATGTATAATATTAGGAGTGACTAAGTGGTTGATTATGATACTAAGCGTACCTTTATTTGAGTACCTTACCTTGGAGGCATGCACTGTGAATCCCATTTTCAATGGCCTCTTGGGAAGCCGTCGGAAGGTCTTCACTAACACCTCCAGCATACTCGATAACTGGCATAACAGAGGCTGTTTCAACTGGTTTTACTTCCAGTTCTACAGTCACAAGATGCCGTTTGTCTCCTAATGTTCTATCTAAGGTATCTGTAAACAAATAGAATATAATACCTTCGAGATTTGTTCTGGAAAGGTATTAAGGTACCACAACTGGAAAAACTGCAGTCAACAAACTCAAAGTCTCATAGAAGATAAAGTGGGAAAAAATATTACAGTGGTACTAAATACAGCATAAAGATGTGGGAGTAAAAAGTTCTATCAAGAAAGCATTTGCTTCTGTGTTTATCAATGTAAAAACCAGCTCTCAATCACTTAATATTACTGCAAGGTTAAGATGTGTTGAGGCAGATGATCCCACACGTTTTGACATGTAGATCACACATTTACATTTTTTCAAATATCTTATGTGACTGAAATTCTTTTAATTATAAAATTTTTATTTAACAGTAAAACAGTACAAAGGGTTATCTAATGAAATTAAAAAGCTATTTTAAATCTACTAACCAACAAATTGTGAAATTTCATATTCTTCCAATGTTTTATGCATTTATGATTTCTCAAAATAGTGACTTTTTAAAGATTGAAAGCAGTATCTCTCATTTGCTAACAACCAACAGCAGTCACCAATCTCCATCATTACTAAAACAAAACTATGTTGTATTTTTGTTAGTGACCATGTAATAGAGTGATGCATCACCTAAATTAAAACTTAAGAATTATAATCTACAATTTCTCTTTATAATAAGCTAAAAATAAAGAACTTATGAAACCTAAAAACTACTCAGAAATAGACCATTACCAGTAGTAACCTACAAGCCTTCCAAAGCCATCACTATCATGATATAATCACTCATTCCTATGAGTTTCCTTAGTTATGTTACATATGCATGTATTCCTAAACAATATAGTTCACTCTGCTGTGTTTTGAATTTGTTATTATGTACTCTGCAACTTGCTTCTTTTGCTTATCTCTGGGTCCTCTGGGCTGATGCATATTGATGTAATTCATTCTTTTTCACAGCTGTTTAATATTTTGTTGTATGAACACAATACCGTTTACACATTCTCTGTCCATAAATATTTGGGGTGGTTTTTTCTATTCAGAGGTGGTTATTATTATGTTATTATGAACATTCTTATATCCATCTCTCAGTGCACATGTATAAGAGTTTCTCTAGGGCATGTGAGAAGTGCTAAGTAGTAAAGTCTGCACACAGTTGGCTTCACAAGGAACTTGCCAAATTGTTTTCATACTGGTTACGTAATTTACACTCCCACCCTAAGTTTTTAGGAGTTTCCATTGCTCAACATCTCACCAACACTTGGTGCTGTCTGATTTAATCCCTGCCAATTGTGTTGGTGTAAAATATCTCATAACTTGCATGACCCTAATCATTACTGATATGAAGAATCTTTTAATATGTTCATGAGTCCTCTGGATATCCTTTTTGTGAAATATCTCTACACGAAGGGCTTATTGTACCCCATGACCACCACTGAAAAGTACGTTTGTCTGATGAGGGCTCATCATTTATTTGATGTATTGAGTGGTACAGGAATAGGGCTGGGTTTAAAACAAAATAGAACAAAATCCTAAAGAGACACAAAAATACAGACACACAAAACCTGTGCCCACTGATGGAAGACGATAGTGAATATGAACCTTGCTTTATGCAACTACATTGAAAGATTTGGAAAAGAGATCCTGGAGAGAGAGAAAAACACAGCAAATCCTAAATGTTTTATTTTACCTGTGGCACAAACTGCATTTAGAATAGTCTCTCGGTATGCCACCTGGAGAGGCCCTAGATAGGTTTCCAATCCATATTCTCTCTTGATTCGGTCATGAATAATCTCAATATGTAACTCCCCCATACCACATAAGACAGTCTGGTTAAAACAGGAAGAAAATAAAACCAAGATCAAAGAAAAAATGTTTATCACAAAATACTATATAAAGGCATTATATCAATATGTTATTTTTCATTAATTACAAACTGAGTTTCTCTGCAATTTTTTTTTTTGGTTCTTCCTCAAAACATTTTTGTTTTTTTCTGAGTGGAATAATAGATCGATTAAAAGTAAATTTCTAGGATATTCTGTCTTTATTACATGACAGTTTAATTAGGCAAGTAGCATCTAGCCAGGACTATATTCCCAACCATATAGCTTAGTTCTGGCCAATGAAACATGAGTGTAACTGATGTTGGCAACTTCTGGGTTATACCTTTAAAGAAAGGATAAAGCCCTTGTCTTAATGAAAATGTAAGCAACTGTCTTAAGGATGAAAGCGACATCTTGTTATTTGGGGGGTGAAGAGGATAATCTTTTCCCCAAATATTCCCAACCACATTGGCATTTATTTCCCAATCATCCTGGGCCCCTTACAGTATTGTGACTAGTTAAATTTTTCAGACTAGCTTGGACCTTTATTTGACAGTGAAATTATCTTTTATCTTTGATCTTTCATTGTTACTTAGGGCCCTTGTTAGAACAAGCCAAATTTTTATCAAAACCAATCAAGACATGCTTTAAAAAAATTTTTTTTTACAACACTAGTTATTCCTTAAGGTGTTTTTGTATGAAAGAGTATAGTGCAAGGAATCCATATTTGCTCAGTCTTATTCATATGCCATCTATGTAGTAAAGAATTAACTGCACCCAAAAAGAGGTATGGCCCTTACCCTCAGCTACTAGTAGGTAATCTCTAGGCCAGGATGCTGCCTGATGGAAGTGTCTTTACTGGTCTGGGGGATTTTGTCCGCGAGACAGTGTAACAATGTGATTTATGATGTGCGCTTCAGAACAGCCTTATCTGTTCCGACCTGGAAAGTCAAGGTAATAGCCTCAACTTACAGGAGGTACTGGAAACTAAAGGTCAACCACATGAGCAGTATGTAATCAAGCCTTAATAAAAACTCTGGAGGGGTGGGGTGAGCCTCCCTGACTGGCAATACCCTTTACCAAAAGGGTTAATACATCCCTGAAGATGAAGGAAGATAATGCCCTATTTGTTTCTTCCTTTGGCTGGCTCTAATTTTATCCTTCCGCTGTAATAGAGCTGTAATTATAAGGAACAAACAAACAAAAGGATTATTTTGTTTCAATTGCTGTACTTTAAAGTAGTGAATTTGGAAAAAGCAAGTTGTAGAATAATACAAAAAGAATGACTTGTTATATATCTGTATATATTTCTGGAAAAAATAAACTGGTTTATAACATAGCACAGCGTAAGACATTTGGGAAAGTGTGAAAGTCTATTCACATTTTCACAGTTGTTTACCTGTGTAAATTAAGATGGAAAAAAGGGACACCTTAATTCTGTACTCTGAACCCGTGTGTGTTATTTGCCATTTTTTAAAAAAAGTATGTATTGGCATTTTTAAATGAAAGTTTTTCAAAATAAAAAAAAAAGTTTAAGTGCTTGTTGCTGTCTCCTTCAGTATTAAACTAAATTACTACCTCATTTAGCTGGCATTTGGGAAATAAAATACTCCATAGTTTTCAGATTAACTAAATCCTTAGTTTATCCTTAAATTTATAATCTTCTAATCTTCTAAAGGAACTTGTTCTAAAATCTTACACAAACTTTACCCTGCCTTCCTAAAAAGACACAATGAACATGTGTTCTTCTGCTGTGATGTAAGATCCACAAACTTCTTACCACCTACTTTACAGCTCTACTTCTCTCCCATAGAGAGTGTTACAGCTCTACAACCTCCCATAGGTTGTTAGCCATCACTTCTCCCCCCACCTTACATGTAACTGACAAGAAAAGCACCTTTGCATCCTCCCTTTAGTATGCCATGTTTACAAGCCTTAGGAGCATAAGAAGCTCAAGGCTTTGTCTTGGGGTTGAACTTTATTTCAAAGTTTCACAAAAGGCTGTCTTCTGGAAAACTGAAATGACAGTGGTCTTTATGTGCTCACTTTGGCAGCCCATATACTAAAACTGGGACGATACAGAGATCAGCACGGCCCCTGTGTGAGGGTGACACACAAATTTGCAAAGCTTCCATGTTAAAAAAATTAAAAAGTGGTTTAAAGAACCATGTTAAAAAAAATTAAAAAGTGGTTTAAAGAAGTGAGGCATAATTAATTATATTGAGGAAGTAAGGAAAATTTTTCTATCTAGTTTGACAGTCAACCTGATAATCAGAAATTTGTACTATCGGAGAACCAAAAGAGAAGGTTTTTTCTTTCGGGGGCATAGACCAATCTGTTTTAGATATATGCATTTAAATACAGAAACACATACACACACAAATACTACTATTGAAAGATTTCTGGAAGTAAAGTTGTAATAAAATGTGAACCTGTCCAGAATCAGCATCTAGCTTCACTTTCAAACTGGGATCTTCACGTTGAAGGCATTTCAATGCATAATCCAAATCTAGGGGATAAACAGTAAATGTTACCTTTACATTTCATCTTTTAGATAATGTAACATATGTTCTAGTGGCGGAAAAAATGAGCAAGCAAATTTTCAAAAACAACGTTTCAAACAGCATCAATGCTTTGTAGTGAATAAAACGAGGTGATAAGATAGTGATGGGAAGTTATTTAAGATTGAATGATCTGGAAGGGCCTCCCCAAGGTAAGTTAGATCAAGACACAAATAAAGAATGGCCATATATGCAAAATCCTGAAGAAACAGAATACCAGAGAAAATGCCTGTGCGAGAAATGGTTTGCTATTAGAAAAATAACACAATGGTAGCTGGTTATTAGCAAGTAATCACATGATGTAAGGGCTTGTAGGCCAGGCTGCAGAATTTGAATTTACACTGGGAAGCCACTGACAGGTGGCTTCGTGGGAGAGTAACATCATCTGATTGTGTTTCACGAAGATCTAGGAAAAGACAAGGAAGCAAAATGCCTTCAGAAAGAGAAGCAATGAGAAACTGGCAAAGGAAACTACACCATGAATAAAGAGATGCTAATGTGGTCACTCTATGATGAATTATCACACCCAATGAGGAAACAAGAATATATTATTTGAAATAAATATGGCCTCTAAAGTCAAGTGATACTTTAATACAATCAATTAGCTGTTAACTGTATTCTCCCCCTCTACAAAAGATGTTCGAAGTTTCTCAGACATGAAGTGCGGCTAAAGAAAAGAGCTGAGCAACGGATTCATGAACCAACCTTACCACACATTTAAAGTGGTCTTATATTCCAGGGACCCTGGTTTATATTCCAGGGACATACGCTTCTAGATATACACCGTCCAAGTAGTAGCCACTAGCCATCTAATTAGTATATTAGGAGTCTAAACAGACATATACTCTAAGTATAAAATACATACCAGGTTTCAAAGACTATGAAAAAAAGAAAGTAAAATAGCTCATTAATTTTTTATATTGATTAGATGTTGAAATACTATTTTTGATATACTGGGTTAAATATATTATTAAAATTAATTTTGCCAGTTTATTATTTTTTTATGTAGCTCTAAGAAAATTTTAGATTACAGTTGATGTTATATTTCTATTGAACAGTATTCTTCTGGACTCTTGACATCCCAAAGTCAGGTCCAAGAACCAGCAACACTGGCATGATATGGAGCCTGTTAGAAAGACAAAATATCAGGTTCCAGTACTGAATCAGAGGCTGCACTTAACAAGAATTTCAAGAAATATATTATGCCCATTAAGGTTAAGAGGCATTATTTTACACAGTATCTTATTTTTAAGCACCTATTCAAAGAAAGTAATAATGCTTATGACACTGTAGCTTTTGAAATGAAAACACAGTAACTTTATTGTAAAATGCAAACTCATTCAAAAATATTTATGACGAATCTACCCTTCAGGGGTTTATTGGGATGAAGAGGGCATTATAAGACAGAGTGTCAATATAATAGGAACATGGGGTAAATACAATGGAGAGCCAGAATAAAGAAAAGGTAGATTTGCTTGAAAGAAGTCTAAGGGAGACTCTATAAAGTCCCATCCCCTGTGGGACTTCGGACCTCTAAGCTAATGCCCATTAACTAGACTTACTTTGGACCCCAGACTTTTCTTCCTCAAGTAGTTAAAAGCTGAAGTGCTAGATTTAAAATGAGCTGGTGCAACTTAACTGCAATGTCACAATTTGAATTTATGTACTCACAATGTTTGAAATATGAAATTACTTTCAAATATTTTTATTTTTTATTTTTTAAATGTTTAGTGTATTTCTGAGAGAGAGAGAGAGAGAGAGAGAGAGAGAGAGAGAGAGAGCGCGCGCGAGCACAAGCGGGGGAGGAGCAGAGAGAGAGAGGAAGACACAGAATCCAAAACAGGCTCCAAGCTCTGAGCTGTCAGCAGAGAGCCCAACGCAGGGCTTGAACTCACTAACTGCGAGATCATGACATGAGCCAAAATCGGCATTTTACTGACTGGGTCATTCAAGCGCCCCTCAAATATATTTTTTAAAAGTCAGATTATTTTGTTTGGGCAGCCCCTGCTCTTAAGTGCCTGGCTACCCCTGATATAACTAGTTTGGTCAACTTTGATACACATCAACCTGGGTAGCCAGATTCACATCACCTGATCCTCCTTCCTTAGGGTCAAGACTATACCCTTAGTTGGTCTCAGGGCATTTTAAGGTGACAAGAAAACTTGCTGCTATACCTGTTTTAATTTCATTGCTGTACCTTTACCAACTGGACAAGAACAGACCCAGTTTCCTTCAGTATTTGGGGGCTGTCTTAAACCAGTATTCACACTTCTTTCATGTGAACTCCAGCTCGAACGGTAAGAACTGGAACCCCTACTTGTCTAGGGATCTTCCTGTTTCTTTTCCCCTTGGTACTCAAGACATGGGAGGCAGTAAATGGGTGCTTTTGTTTTTCCATCATCTGTGAGCCCAACTTGTTTAAGGGGAAAAAATAGCTTCTAATGCCACCTCTAGAACTAGGTTTGTCCTTCAACAACTTAATATAGGAATTCAGTGAGGGCCTCAAAAAGAAGTGATGCCTGAGATGAGATTTTCTAATTAAAGTGAACATCTTCCAGGTAGACAAACTGCATTATGCCATTATAATGCAAGACAGAACAAATGAAAAGAAATAGTAATGCAAAAAGAGCATGGTATCTTCAGAAAACTGGAACTAGTTTATTACAGAAGTGTAAGGTGTGAGTCATTATTCTGTCTTACTTTTTTTTTTTGGTGAAAGAAGAGGGTTCAGAATGAAGGAGGAAGTTTCAAACAACGAGGCCAGGCAAGAAGGCTGGTGTCAGCGATTGCTAGTGGTCTTCCTCTCTATTCTGCTGCCGCCTGCCTAAAAGACTGCATTTACCAAACTCCTTGCAACTGAGCGGCCAGATGTCTAAGTAATAGCCAGTGACACAGAAGAAGTCTTTAAGGGGAAAAGGACACATCTTCTTCCTCCTTACTCCATGTCTCTGTCAGGAACTTGGCCGTGATGCCAGAGGTGCTAGCAGCCATCCTGTGATAACTAAGGATAGGAGCTACAGACTCAGAGAGGCAGGGCAGAAAAACGAGAGCCCGGGGGCCTGATGATGGTGTAGAGCCACCCTCTAACCCCTGGGCTCCCAACCCAAGGCACATTTTACAAGAGAGAGAAATAAACTTTTGTCATTAAAGCAACTGTTACTTGGGGGTTTTCTGTAATATGCAACCAAATCCAATTGGAAATGATACAGCTGAAATCATGAGATTTATATACCACAGAAAGAAGTCTGCGTTTGTGCTATATGTAAGTAATGAGAAGCCACTGAGAACTTAAACAGGCTAAAGCACGAGTACACAACACTCAAAAAGCTCAAACAACATTAACCATAGTATATAAATATCTTCACTGAGTTCTAAAGGTTGAGCCAAAAAACAAGGAAAAGGAGCATTTTGTAAATGGTGATGAGAAAATGAATCCTTCTGAACTGTTAACTGTCTAATCTATTATAACTGGAAGGGGAATCCTGACGCCAGTTACTTTGGATGCCAATGACAGCACCACAAGAACCAGAGCAAGGAAGATGATGATAGTCGAAAATGGCCAACATGTGGGAAAAGAATAAATAAAAGGAGCTTGTAAAAATCATAACATCTTAAATAGAAAACAAGACTAATCCCAAGTAATACCCATGACTTCTGATAAAACTGAACTCAATCATGTGAGAAATCTTTTGAGGGCATAACATAACTATCTGTATCTAAATTACTAACTGTATCTAATTACTAGTTAATTGATACACCAAAACTATTTGTACCTGGCTGCTTAGCCACCGAAGGGGGTTCTATGGTACAGAAGAAAACAGGTTCTGGAATCTCCACCCCAGCCAGAAGAAGTCTTTCGGCTTCATTGTTCCGTCTATGTTTTTTTCCTCCTTCTGTTTCGGCTCGACGAGCTGCAGCTAACGCACTGGACTTGGATGAGGCAATGGTGTCTCCTGTGGCGGTCTGTAAGCAAACATCGCGCTTGGAACAAGACAGGCTCAGTGAGCACTCAGCTTACACCGAGAATCACGAAATATGAAAACTTCCAATGTGACACTTTCATCAGAACTTAAAACAGGAACAAATTCACAAAGCTCACTGCAACTTTGCATAGGTAAAGCTAATTTAACCTGTGTAAGAATTCTATCCAAGATACTGCTGTAATAAATTCTAACAACACACACACACTCTCTCTCTCTCACGTACACTCACTACACATTCAAAATTCATTTGGTAAAACAAATGTACCTTCCTAAATTTTCAATCATATCAAAATAGGTCAATTTTAGTAGAAGTCCATTTTAAGAGTTTTACCACCAGTAAAAATGTCTATAACTATTTTACAGAAAATCTTCCATTAACTAAAATAAGCAATTAACCAGAATTCTCTAGACCATGCAGAATTGATAGCATCCTTACAGACTCATTATTTTTTAAAACTATAATTTCACTTTTAAACTTTAATATTACAACATTCCATGCCAATTTCCTTCTCTGTAAAGATATTCCTAATGAAGCAATAGTTCAAACGTCTCTGTGTAACTCCTTCAAATATGTACATGGAGCTCCTGCCTTCGGTTGGACAGAGGACATTTCAAGGCTACAAGTCCTATATCTGGACTGTGGACATTTTATACTAAAGGATCTTGAATCCTGCAATTAACCATAAAGAGGTTAAAAAATGTTCAAAGTAACCATGGCTATCCTAAATGCCAAATACACCAAAGTTTAATGAGAAAATGTATTCAATTTAATCCATATATAAATGAAATGTCCTTAGTTTTACCTTACCAAAAACATACACAGCATCAACTTATTTTCATCCATTCATCTGACAAGTCATGGACTGCCTCCTATATGTGATGCACTGATCTAGGGACTAAGGACAGAGAACAAAAGAAACCCAAGTCCTTGCCCTCATAAAGCCTTCATTGGCAATATGTCTTCAGTTATTACCCGGATAAGTTATAAGGTTAAATTGTCAGCAATGATCAAGTAAAATACCCAATGAGAATAACAAAATATTAAATTTAAAACACAGGTATGTATCTATAGTGTATTTTCACTTGGATTTGAATTTTACATGAATATAATCCACAGTTTACAGTCTTCTATAATTTTCTTTCTTTCTGAGATTCAACCATGTTGATGAATATGCTACAATATTCATTACCCCACTATTGATGACCATTTGGATCATTTGTGGGTTTTTGCTACCGCAAAATGCCTGGTTTTAATTAAACATTTAAGCTAATAATTCCTAGAGAAACCATCTGTTCGCTTACGTGTTTAAGGCCAACAGTCAAAGCAATGTTACCAGCAGTCAGTGAAGGGATTTCTATATGTTGGTCAGCAAATGGCAAAAGAAGACGACTTATTCTCTCCCTGTAAAAACCATGATTTATTTCAGTAAAAGAATTTTTAAAGAAATGACTGCAGTTTTAGAAAATAAACTAAGCTTGTGGAGGGCTTGAGTGGCTCAGTTGGTTAAGCATCCAACTCTTCGTTTCGGCTCCAGTCATGATTGCACAGTTCATGAGTTTGAGCCCTGCATCAGGCTCTAAACTGACCGTGCG